TGGCTGTCACTGAGAAGAGCCTGGCTCCTTCCTCCTGACACTCGCCCTTTACAAATTTATAAACATTAATGAGGTCACCCCTCAGTCTCCTCTTCTCCAAGCTAAAGAGACCCAGCTCCCTCAGCTGCTCCTCAGAAGGGAGATGCTCCACTCAATCATCTTTGTGACTCTGTGCTGGACTCTTTCAAGCAATTCTCTGTCCTTCTTGAACTGAGGGGCCCAGAACTGGACACAATATTCCAGATGCAGTCTCACCAGGGCAAAGTAGAGGGGAAGGAGAACCTCTCTTCACCTACTAACCACATCTCTTCTCATACACCCCAGGATGCCATTGGCCTTCTTGGCTGCAAGGGCACATTGCTGGCTCATGGTCATCCTGCTGTCCACCAGGACCCCATTTCAACTAGTTATTTTCCTTACACTGGTAACAAAAATTGCAGCAAGTGAGTTAGAAAAACAACTTCAGACATCCATGCAGACTAAGAAAAAAATTACAGACAGCATCTTTAATGAGCAGTTAAATGTCCAAAACCATAATTTTCTTAACTTGTATTTTAATTTTTAGCTGTGAAAAAGGTGAACGTATATGTCTGTCGCCTTGAAGATACAATCTATATTCTGAGAATCAAGTAATCATTTATAGTTATGCACTTAAGTGTAGACCAATAAATTAGTGATTACTTCTACAGAGACTCTAAGCAATGCTTTCCTTTTGGCTTCTGTTTGCTTAATTTTTGATCAATTTGATTGCAAAAATTCATAAGAAAGAACAATAAAGCAGTTACTCATTTTACAAACATTGCACTTTTAGTAGTGGTAGATCTCATGGTAGTACTGGAAGATCTCGCTGCTGGTCTACAGTTACCTGATCTGAAAGACCGGCAATAGCGAGATACATGTATGACAGCCAACACAGACTGTCTTGTGCTTCTGGCAGAAACCACCATAACATCCCAGTCATAATGTTATTTGTAGGTTCTGAAAAGCAGTCCTAAATAATGGGATCCTCACCTGACATCAGCTTGAAGGAAAACCCTTAGAGGCCAAGTAACAACACTTATTCAAACATAAAACAGTGTGGCTCCTAGAACCGGTGAATGGAAAGCAACACCCAGATAGAGTGAGCTGAGGGGTGTTATATACAGTCATTGCCCAGTGACTTCCAAACTGTCTCCTTCAATAGCTACCTCTGTAGCACAACACCTGATAAAATGTCATGGGGCATTTCAAATTCTCACCTTTCACACTTTCGAGTTTGGCACATTTCTGAAGTATTTTTGTTTCACAAGGATGAGCACTGACGAACTGAGCCTTAAAATTCTGAGAGAGAAGAATACCAGTCAATTTTAATCCTGCTGGCATTTATGCCTCTTGATGAGATGGCTTGGTTTTTTAAATGACTCTGTCCAGTCAGAAGTAAACAGAGTATCTGAAATCTTTATCCCTCATTGAGAAAATGGATTAGCGATACCAGAACTTGCAGAGAGTCCAGACTGCTATGTTGTTCAAGCAAAGAAAACATCTAATTCTGACTAAATTCTTTGGGCAGACACTCTCAAGTTCTGCAGTAAATCTGCAGTAGATCTCCTAGCTTGGCCTAGTCCTGTTAGGTCCTACCAGTAAAACTAGCATCCAGTCTGCCAGGTACTGGAACCACAACCCTGCCTGAAGGGTTAGATCAGTTTGCAGCAGCCTGGAACATGAATGAGTATCTAGGATCCATCTGACTGAACTGCTGGGTGACCTGGGATCTTCACTCACAGTCACTAAAATACCCCACTCCTCCACTACTCTCAAGAAACTCTATACCCAGCCTGACCACTCCCTCCTAACCACGTCTCTGCTAAAACCCGTAGATGCAGTCCAATACAGACCCATACATACAGCAGCTCTATAGTCCTTCAGCCCTCTGCTGAAGGGCAGGAAGGGTCAGGAAGAGTAAGAATATGTGCAACCCACTGGAAAGAAGTTCTGCAAATCGATGCAGCTCAACTCTAGGGAAGAAATGGATTCAGCAAGGCACAGCAGAAGCAGGCAGGGCTGGCACAGGGCAGCACACACAAGGCGTTAGAGAAGCCTCACAAATATCATCGGAAACGAGTAGCAATTTGGTACAGTTTGTTATGGACACCACTGAGACTCATGACGCAAGTGTGATGTCGTTATGTTGGTCATCACTAGCAGATGTTTCAGATGCACTGGTCACCACTTCCTGACATCTGTCATTAAAAATCTGATTGAGAAGGAGGCACAATGCATCCTCCGTGTTCCTGGCTTCTGTCCTCCATCTCCGCTCTCAGCTGAAGTGGAATCAGAAACTTCCTGTTCACATAGTGACACATGCCACCGTTGCAGACTTCACACGTGGGTAATGAAAGCAGACACACATATGTGTACTTTGATTTATGGCCCACCACCCCCAGACACTGCTGTGACTTGATCAGACTCAGAATAACGGGATTGACTTTTAGCAGGAGTGACTTGACACCAGACTCCAACAGTGTGCAGTACTGAATTCTAATGGCTATGATGGTGTAAGACACGATTTCTGTAAAAGTCATAAAAATACTCGTCTGACAAAACTGGAGAAATGTTACGTTCAGAATGTCAATGTTTTCTTTAGGAGGTTGTTACTTGATAAAAATTATCAAAGCATGGGCAATCCAAAAGCCTCTCCTTCTAAAGTAGGTTGCCCTAGGTCTACTAGGTGCTTCAAAGGCTTTCTGTGTGATGGACAAGCTAGAGGTTCTATCTCTCCTTGGTAATAATTTAGATCTACTGTGAATATGAGATGCTTCTAGCTATATGAAATGTAGTTATCTTCCAAATCAAGAGAGCAGACAAACCTGTCTTGAGATGGATGAAAGCTTATTTGCTCAGTCTCTTCAAGGGTATGGTAGACAGATTTCTTATTCAGTACAAAGCAATAATGAATAAAAACATCTTCTCTGAATTGTGTGGGATCTTATTCTTTGGCTCTTGGGTAAAGCAAAAAAGATGTACACAGTACATTTATCTGAGAAGGGTCCTCGAGAAAGGTCAGAAAGGAGGTTAGCAAGGGAAGTGGAAGAGGCAACCAGCTGTAGACAGGGCCGAGACCATTTCACAAGGTGGCAACAGACAGACTCCATTTGACTACATCACCTACTGCTTTTGAGTGAGAACTGGCTTAACCATGAAGATGGAGGAGATGGAAGATGACTGCTATCTAAAGCATCGAACTTTTTGTGTGTAGATATTCAAGTTGAGAAAAACTTTGGGTATGGTATTAACTTGTACTGCTGTATCTAAGGAGCAGATCAAAATTGTTAAGTATTCAGGAGCTTCTGTCTTCTGGTCAAAGTGTCCACAACATCACCAATGTGGGTTTTACCACACCAGTACATGCCTTGCATGATCCACCAGGCAGCTGGAATGGGATTCTTTCCAATAGGTGTCTTTTATACAGATAACCTCACTGTAGATAGCTACATCTGAGCTAAACAATTACTTCCTTTCATTTCCATGGAGAGAAATCAGCATTTCTGGGCTGTGTTTCATTCAGTTTATTTTAGCTATCAACATGGAGCACTAGACACACATAATTCTCACCCACTGATTAAAAAACAATCTGGAGATCTAGTTCAGATATATATATATATCTACTCTTGATGAGGTCAACTCCATACCAGTGTCAGTAACCGTTCAGTAAGAGACTTCGGCAGCTTTTGGCAGTACGAGTATATAACACATTCATTCGTTACCCTTTTGAAGGAATGAATGACTCTATCCTTAAAAAACATATGCTACTGTCTTCTTGCTATTACTTACTTCAGTTCATCCCTGTTTTCCTACAGCATTTTGAATACGAAAAGTCTCACTCTTTGGATATGTGTAGCCCAAACAGGAACTGCAACTCAGAAGAATCTAATTTTGTGCTCATTAAGTGCAAGTGCAACTGGAGGTGGCCTTACAACTATTCAAAGACAAACGTCAGTTACCTTGGGGGCCTGAAAGATCAATAAAAAGAATATAAAGCAGGAAAAAAATAGCTTCCAAACGTACATAAAGAGTATTACCTGGAGAACTCTACTCATCCATTGAAAACTGTCTTCCTCTGTGGAATCTGGCCTTTGCTCAGCAACAATAACTATCCTTTCGTCGTGCAGCACGCTCACTGAAAACACTGCTATTCTATAGAAGAGAAGGAGAGAAGAGTATTTAGTGCCAGGTTAGCTGGAAAAAAATGTCTTCTAAGTTAAGCCTCCACAACTATGATTTTGTTATTTATTACTCAGACAACTGGTGCATCGATCAGTGTTTTATTCATGGAGAAAAGGCGGTAAGAACAGTTTCGGATAATTTCCTGAGGAGAACTAGTGGGGTTTGTTCTAGAATCATATAAGTACAGGCATAATGTCACAGCAGGGTGGGAGAAGTGAACCTTCTTGGGAAGAGAAATCATTACATTTGGGTCACACTGAGGTTTTGTTGTTAAACTGTTGTATAATAGCCAGCATAAGCGCCTGCTTTGGCCCCACCTTACAAGAAAGTAATTGCAACGTCATTTTGTGAAAGGTCTGCCATGTGATCATGTGTGAGTGCATGTTACTTCATTAGGGTCTGCAGAAGTTTTGGATGTCTCCTGCTCAGTTTCAGCACCTTAGAAAGGTCACCCAAGGACTCACTGTCATGTTCAAAAACATGTGTGTTAGGCACACTGGAAATGTTCAACTTGGAGAGCTTGGATTCCGCTGAGTCAACATCTTCAGAATTAACCAACTGTTCAGCAAGAATCTTTAATTATCACAGTTCTGAGCCTTGGTATCTGCATCAACACTGTCTTAGATTTCCCTCTGTTGTCTCCTGGTTCTAGCCATATAAACAGCAAATAAATTTCATATAATTGCTATTTCACTGATACCGGCAACTTTCAGAAAGCCCAGTGCAGATTAGGCACTGTGTTCTGAAAGCATTTTGGGTCACTTACACCTGGCCTAAGTAAAATAAGGATTTCTACATAATACAAGAAAGAAAGGATCAAACCTTCCTCTGTAGACAAATTTCATTGGTTCCACGGCCAGTGCTGTTGCTACAATGTCATCAGCATTATGTCTTCTTCCACTAACAACCATCAAACCATCCATTTTGCCAATAACAAAGACAAGTCCACCTGGTCCTATAAAGCCTAGTAGTCCGGTCCTTATAAAAGGATATTCAGTGATAGGGCCACCAGAACTGGTCATAGGAAACACCTGTAAGACAGAGAAACACAGGACTTCAATCCCATACACAGAGATCATGCTGTGAAATATTTCAGGCGTGCTCTCTCAGATGGCTCTTCGGGAATGAAGTAAATAGGTCACTGGTGATGCTCTTTACTCTTCACTGACCATAAAGGGAGTGTCAGGAAACTCCTAGACTGGTGTGTGCAAATTTCAGTACCTGAGTTCCAGCAAGTTCGATCCCACTCTGTTTACCATACACATTTACCCTAATCATGAGTCTGTAAATAATTTATGACCTTAAAAAAATATATGAATCAACATTAACAGTACTGAACAAAAAAAACCTGCTGTGCAGGGTGCAGCTAACATGCGGTGCTATGTATAGGTTACCTGAGAGATTAAATCATAAACATTACAGTAGAGGTTCTTTTCAGTACCTCATGCTCATTTCCAGCACACTTATAGAGAAATAAGCAGGCTAAAAGTGAAGCTATTTTAAGGTACCGTGCATTAATGACTCTTGCAGCTGATCACATTTTTATCTAAGGTCAATTAAGTCCTCACAATACCAGTGACAATGCCTTCTGTAGTATGTCTAAAAGTGAATATACAGCCCTCTACAGAGCCTCTCTAGATGTCTGAACACCAGACACTTACGTGACTTCCATGGGACTGATCTCTACCACTTTTTCTATCCTAACTAGCACAGCATTTTCCTTCTGGCACGTGAACTACTTTGATCTGCATTCTGACACAACCACACTTTCCTACCATTGCTTCTTTAATAGTCTTAAATAGTCTAAAGACAAGCTATTTAATACAAAGGCAAGTGGAAGACCACGGCTCTACAGTGTCCTTCAAGGCTTAATTCAAAAGAAAGGTCAAGTTCTGCTGCCAGATGCCCATGGGTGACTCTCATTGAACAGATTTAATGCTTACACATCCTTAGCCATAATTCATTTCAGGAACACAAGACTCATTGACTCTAATACCTGCAATATGAATTACACAGTAAAACAGAGGAGGCCCACTTGGGTGGGGTTCCTAAGACCACTCATTTAAGTCTAAAAATGAGTGGTCCTGCTCACTCAATGGCCACTTTTTCCTCAAATATTAAAAGAGAAAAGGGTCAAAACTTAATAAAAATCTCAGCTCAATTTTCTTTCAGTATTTCTCTCATTTGTTCAGCAGAAGTTAATGGTAACAAGTGAGCAGGTGCAATGCAGCTATCAATCCAGCTGTCTGCACTGGGGCTGAAACCTACTGGAAAACAGATTCCACAAAGCAAAAAGGCTTTCACCCAAGGCAATTCAAACAAAAGCAGGTGGGGACTAATTAGGAGAAGGTATCTTTGCTATTCAGCTAACTCTTGAAGACTACATCTGTCAGGATTCTGTATGGATGCAAGCCTTTAATGCTGGCTGTGTTGTGGAAATGTTGGAAACTGCTTTTTAAAGATACTTCGCAGCCTTCCTGCTGTTTGCAACAACCAAATCCTGCACGTAGCGAGCTCTCAAGACTTGTACAGTACTACCTG